CCGTCCTGTCAGTCACTTGACACGTGTCCCCACACTATACACTGTGCCCTTTGGATATTATTTCCTAACAGAAATCTATCTCATTTGGTGTTGAAACGAACATTTTTTCTTCCACCGTCTGTCTCCCTGCGGAGCCCGTTCCACAAGTTTACTGCTCGCTCACCGAAATAGCGTCTCCGAAGGTTTGTTCTGAATTTATCGCTGAAGTCACCAGTCGGTCATCCCGACAAGCGCGGGTTTGAGTCCTCGCTAGGTGGATGGTGGCTTGCGAGCTCCCACGGCGGGCACCACGGCTCAGCATGAAATGCGTGAGAGCTTTGCCAGCGTCTTCCTGCCCGCAGCTCGGGCACACGGCCCTTCCCATTCCACCAGTCGGAGGCGTGGAGTTTCCTCATCAGCTGCTGCGTTCACAAACTCGGACTCCAGGTAATGCCTCGAGAGTTTCCTCATCAGCCATCTGGCGGACATCTGCCTCCAGCGAGGTGGGAGGACCCTGTGATGTGCTCGCCAGCTTGATGCTCTCGAGGTCCAAGTGTTGCGTTGTCAGAGGTGCCCTCACCACCCCCACCCCACAGCCCTCACGCCAGGTGTGAATATAAGAACGTCACGTTCAGAGGCAGATACAATCCTCGTTTAATATACACAGTACACAAATACAGACATCTTCCCTTCCCCTTAAAAAAACTGTCAATATAATATAAATGCTTTGTGATGTGCAGGTAGACGTGTGCGAGAGTAACAGAGAGAGGCAGAGAAAGAGAAAATCAGAGTCTGACATAATAATAATCAGTATATTTGGTACAGCGTCTTTCACATTGGGAGAATGTCTTAAAAACGCTTTATATGATATACTGTAAAGTGCAGTGACTGTGTGTTTTCTGGGCGAACGTCACAGTAATTTGTCCCACAAACAGCCACGGAGTGGAGCGAGTGACCAATTCCACTTGGGGGATTGTTGGCCAGGACACCGAGTGTCTGACACGTGCGGAAACCCATCACCCTTGCTTAGGAGTCTCCAACCCAAGCTGAGAAATCCATGCATCCCACCTACACGTGGACATTCCCCATAGATAGATTGTTGGAATGGAATGCGCAATCTCTCTCCCTGGAGGGACACATCCTACTTAACTAATTCCAGAAACTATTGTAGTTTGGTAAAAGCCAAGGCTTGGGGGAACCAAGTCTTGGGTTGGGGTAACTGCTGGAGTCTAACCAGCTAAAACTGTAAGCTTTCCCGCTGCTTGTCCAGCGAGGACCACCCTACCCTTTCGGACTTTGGCTTGCAGGGTTAACAGGACCCAAGTGGGAGCATTCCCTGTCCCCAGCGATGACTCTGTCCTTCTAAGTCCTGCTGATGAGCCAGGCTGGGCTGTGCTGTGATCAGCAGTGCCCGGAATACTGTGGACCCACCTGGCGAGAGGCTGCCGCCGAGGGCTGGCTCGATTCTGCCATTCAGAGAGACAGACCGACAGACAAACGGACGGAGAAGCCCAGGCGGTGGGAGTTTGCCCAATTTACTTGTTCGCGGTGAGGGTGAAGCACTTGTGCTGACGGTGGACGGCGGCGGCGGCGACTCCGGTGTGTTGCGGGTGCCACTTGCCCAGGCCCCTACCACACAGCCTCAGCTCCCGCAGCCCCTCCCTGCCGCTGAGCCCCTCCAGGGGCCCGGTCACCGAGCAACCTGGAGCACAGGCCAGAGAGAGCACATCAGTTACCGCGCTGCCCAGCCCATCCCCACCACATCGTCTCCTCTGGTAGCTTCTCCTCCTGCCCTTGTACACCTGTGATGTACCCCAGGGCTCTATCCTCAGCTCCTTTTGCTCATCTACCCATTCCCTCACAGGGTAAACTTCCATGTGTACCCGGTGACACCCGAATCTACCTCTCCTCTAGCCATGACCTGAGGTGGAGTCCTGCAGGGTTGTGGTTAGATCGCTCGCCTCGCAAACGATGGGACCCGGGTTCGATTCCCGGGCAAGGCAAAACCTTAGGCAAGTTTCCTCACTCCACACGCCTCGGTTTACCCAGCAGTAGGTTGGAAGCCGGTCGTTAGTCGATTGGCAACTCGCTTTCCGGGCAGTAATAATCCCTTCAAAGAATAATAATGATTTAGTAACTCAATCCACGACTGTTTGTGGGACACTGCTGTGCACAAAACTGACTACTGCCTTTCACCCACAAAATACACAGTCACTCCACTTTACAGCATATTCTATGAAGCTTTTGGAGACCTCTCAAAAATGTAATAAAGCGCGGAATCAAACCAAAAGATTGTTATTATTATTATTCCAGCCCTTTACCCCACTGTGTGGGCGCTATTATTACTCTAATAATGTCCTTACTTAATAATATTACTGTAAAGTGTAGTGACTGTGGTCCCATAGGCCAACTTGGTATCCGATTTGCACACAGCGACATCCCACAAACAGCCATGGACTGAGTGACCAATATTATTGGAGGATTGTTGGCCAGGACGCCGAGAGAGAGAGAGAAACTCCGTGATCTATCAATCAACGTGTTGCCAGTTTTCTCTTGATTGAATATCTCTTGATTTACGGCACAAATCAAGAGATATTCAACTGACTGACCAAAAAGGTTGGTCATCACCGGCCTTGACTGTGAGCTTGAAGTCCCTAACCTGGGCTCGAACCCTGGGACACTACCCTGCGCGAAGGGCGCTATTTAAATCCAAGTTGTTGATGATCCTGAGATGAGGGTGACAGAGAGCCAACGAGCAGTCCCCCGCCGTACCGACACTCACCTGCCAGGCTCAGGTACTGCATCCCAACACTCCGCCCGGCAATGGCCAACAGCAACCGCTCCAGCCCCCGCCCCGTGATCCCGGGATTAGCCGAGAGATCCAGGGACACCAGAGACCCACACAGCAACAGGCACCTGCCGGGTTAGGGAGGAACACACAGCTTTACCGCACGTAGGGGCAAATGTAGCCACGTTCCCAGCTCAGCAACAGCACGGGTTAGAGGCAGAGTAAAGCTCCGTCCTCGCTGTCCGCCCACACTCCCAGGTCAGTGACAGAGCAAAGCTCCCACAAACCTCCCACTCTGTCGGGTTTACCCCCCCACACCCCCCCCCCCCCCCCAAATCACCTGAGACTCGCACCCTCAGCTCGGCTCCCAGAGAGCAGGGCGGAGCTCTTTGGCACATTCAGCTGATGTGAAAGCCGCTGTGTAAATGGATATTGTATCCACATAATTACTCTGTCGTAACCCCAGTCTTCAGCGGGCTCCGACCTTCTCTACATTCTGCTCGGCCCTTCCTCGGCGGCCAGGCCTTCAGCCTCTCAGTCCCCTACCCTCAGGAACCACAATCCCTTCGCCTCACCCTCTCCCTTACCTCCTTCACGGCCCATCTCAAGAACTTCCCCTTTGACCGCGCCGTCGGTCACCCTCCTACTCCCTACCCTCCTCCCCTCCTGATCCCAACCCCCCAGCTCGGGTGCAATCCCTCGACTGTCGAGCGCCCCGAGACGTCGTCCCAACACAAAGTCTCTGTGTAAATGTCATTTGTTGTTGTTGTTGTTGTTGGGGAGATGCGGAGACCGGGCAGTTACCTGGACAAGTCACTGGCACATTCGTCTGTCAATCGATTTCCCGACAGGTTTAGATGGGTCAGAGCACATCCCTCCTGGTAGAGAGAGGGAGAGAGAGAGAGAGAGAGAGAGTTCACACCAACACTTCCTGTTATTGTGCTCGTCGGGTTCAGGCGATTGTGTGTTCGAGGTTTTGGGGTACTCTGAGCTCACAGTCTAGGCTGAAGCCCCAGTTTTGTGCACAGCAGTGTCCCACAGTCGTGGATGAAGTGACCAAATTACTATTATTATTTTTTGAAGGGATTATTACCCACCCCACCCACCAACAACCGGGTTCCTACTTACTGCTCGGTAAGCAGAAGCACGTGGAGTAAGGAAACGGAATCGAATCTGGGTCCTCTCGCTTGCGGGGCGAGAGCGCTAACCAATACGAAACAACCCTCCCCCGTCCCCACTTACCTGCCCCAGGTATCTGACCAAGGGCTCCAGGAAATGGGGGTCTGCAGGGCTACTGGCCACACAGCTCAGCTCCAGGCGAGTCAGGCTCTGGTGGGGCAGGCTCCTCAGGGCTGTCTCCACCCCAGAGCCCAGCTGGTTGTGGGATAAAACCAGGGTCTTGAGGTGCACGGCCTCTGTGGGAAGAGCGGGGCAAAGACAACGACGACAACAACAACGGTTACAGTTGTACAGCGCCTTTCATGTCGGAAGGACGTCTCAAAGCGCTTCACAGGATTTACTACAAAGTGTAGTGACTGCGCATTTTTGGAGGTGAACTCAATATATGCACACACACACACACACACACACACAGAGGATACAGAGATAGATAGATAGAGATACAGAGAGAGATACAGAGAGAGATACAGACAGACAGACAGACAGGCAGGCAGGCAGGCAGGCAGGCAGGCAGGCAGACAGAGAGGAACTATCTCCTCTGGTGGGGGAATCTAGAACAAAGGGGACATAGTCTTACAATGAAATCCGGGCCATTCAGAAGTGAAATCAGGAGGTAGTTTTTCAACCAAAGGCCAGGGGAAAGCTGGAACTGTCTCCCCCAAAAGGGATGCTGAATCCATTCACGTCGTCAAGACTGAGGCGGATCAGATACTTGTTAGGTCAGGGGATCGAGGGACACGGGGCAAAGGCGGGTAAATGGGGGTTTGAGGTGCAGATCAGCCATGATCTTATAGAATGGGGGAAGAGTTTCGAGAGCTTGAATGGTCTATTCCTTTCCTATGTTTCCCACACCCGTTGCACACGCACACTACATACCCACCCACAGATCACGCCAACACACACCCAACATCACACCCGCCCCCTCTCACATGCCCACCAACTCACAGAAACCCCCTAGCACACACTCACACCCGCTCTTCCCCCCCCCCCCCCACCCACGACGAGTCAAGCTGCAGGCTTACCCGTAATGGCCTCGGCCAGCAAGGGCCGCTGCTGGTGGAAAAGCCTGGCTGTCAGCCGGCAGGCCTGCAGTCTGAGGGTGCTCAGGGCGGGGCAGCTGGTCAGCAGGTGGGCGACGGAGGGGGCGCAGGCATCTCCCAGGGGATTCAGGCTCAAATCCAACTCCTCCAGACTCTGAAACAACAACAACAACAACAATCCCAGCGTTCGCAAATCCTGAGATGTTCACAACGCTCCACAGGGACTTGGTGGGTCGATGCCCTGTAATAATAATCCTTGCCTTTGGTATCACACCTTCGAGACATCTCAAAGCGCTTCGCTCGAATACACTGCACAGCGTAGTGACTGCATATTTCGTGGGCGAAAATGCACTTGTTACTGACTCACCGACCAGTGGAAATAATGCTCGATATTGACTCGCTCACAACCCCTCATCACTTTAAAGGCTTCGATCAGGTCACCCCTCAACCTGCTTTGATCCAGCAGAAAGACTCGCATTGCTCCAGCCTCCGCTCGTCAGCCAAACCGCTCATCCTCTGTTTCATCCCAGTAAATCTCCTCCGCACCCTCTCTATCGGCTTAACGTCTTTCCTAAAGTGTGGCGGCCAACGCTGGACACAGTATTCTAACTGGGCTCCAGCTAACCAGGCACACAGGTTTAGCGTTATCTCTTTGCTTTTATATTCTACACTCCTCGTTGATAACTTGTGGCACAATCTGCCAGAGTTTTGCCCACTCACTTAGTCTAGCTGGGTCCCTTTGTAACTTCCTGCTCCCATCTACACAACTTACTGTGTCTCCTAACTTGGTGTCATCTGCAAATTGGATGCAAAATTCTATTCCTTCGTCCAAGTCATTTATATCCACGTTGAAAAGCTGAGGCTCCAGTACAGACCCCTGGGGAACAACACTTGTCATGTCCCGCCAATCAAAGGAGGTTCTTTTTATCCCTACCCTCGGGTTCCCATCTGACACACACAAGAGCCCCAGACACACAGACACTCACACACAGCCAGACTGACCTGGAAGCTGAGGTGGGAGGGCCTGAGAGTGGCGTCACACAGAACCCTCAGGCCGGGAGCTGTGATGTGGTTGTTGGCCAGGTCCAGGCGGGCCAGGCCGGGCAGGGTGCTGAGGGTGTCAGCCAGCTCCCCCAGCAGCCTGTCGCACAGTCTGTCCCCGCTCAGACACAGCTCCCTGGTGCTGTTCTGCTGCTTCAGGGCACGGAGCACGGGGGGCAGCCTGACCGGTCCCAGGCTCAGGTTAGCCAGACTGAAACACGCACTGTTCTCCTGCATCTCCATGATCCTCAGCACCAGCCTGTTCTCAGCTACAGACAGATGGAGAGAGCGAGAAAGAGGAGAGGGAGATATCAGAGACATAGAACAGAGATATCAGAGACAAACTGTGGAAGTCGTGTAAAATCCGATGCAATCAGTAATCCTCATTATATGTGTGTAATTTAACGCAGCCGATCAAGATCGAATTTTTTTTCCCCACTATTCAACGCGACTTCACCTGTGACCACGTGCGCACTGACTGGCAAACGTTGGAATGAGGGCATTGAATCGCGGGAAATGAAGATCTTCTGCGCATGCGTCAACGGATCAAGAGCTTGTTTCCCTTGATTCAAGGCCTCCAATTAAGTGGGAGAGCAATGGAGGGTAGGGGAGAGGAGTGGCGTTCCAGTTAGGAGGTGATTACTGCACGTAGTGAAAAGAAATCTAAGTGAATTCGATAGGAAACTGGATGGGACTCGGGTGAATGTACGATTTAATAATAATAATAACGATTGTAGCGACAGGAGTGGTCCAACCGGCGGCCCGCGGGCCACATCCGGCCCGGGGGATGATTTAATCCGGCCCGCGAACTGTTTCCAACTTCATTTGGCCCTCAGCAGCCAAAAGGTTTGACACCCTCCCTGATTTAAGACGATCAAACGATTTATAACGTGTGCAAGTTTAACTGTATTGCACTGCGGTACTTACCTGTAGCCAGGCTCTGACATGCCCTCTTGTACCTGTCTGAGAGGGGGGGCAAGTCCCAGGACATCACTTCCGCCAACACCTGTGGAAGAGGCGGTCACAACAACTTGTGTTTACACAGCGTTCTTCGCACGGGTAGTGCCTCGGAGCGTTAAACAGTGGCGGAGCCTGGCGCCAAGCCGGGCAGAGAGAGAGGGGCGGTTGAAGAGGAAAGCCTTCAGGTGCGATCTGACGATGGGGGGGAAGAAGCTAGGCGGAGAATTCTAGAGGTTCGGGGCACGGTGGCTGAATCTCAACATCACCAAACCCTACAACCTCTTCAGTCTCTTGTAATAATATTAATAATAATCCTTGGATTTGATGTACAGCGCTTTATCACGTCTTCGAGACGCCTGAAAGCGCTTCGCAGAATATACTGCAAAAGTGAATTGACCGTGTACTTTGTGCACGAAAATCGGCAGCCAATTGCGCACAGCAGCGTCCCACAAAAAGTCGTGGATTGAGTGACCCAATGATTACTTTTTTTAAAAAAAAGGTACAATAACCCCTGGAAAGCGATCTGTTCATCAACTAACAGCCAGGTTCCTAATTACTGCTTCGTAAGCAGAGGCGTGCGGAGTCAGGAAACTTGCCCAACACTTTGCCCTGCCCGGGACTCGAACCGCAGCACACAGCGCGTCCTCCCGAGGGTCTCACCTCCTCGTTGCTCTGGAGCACGTGCAATACGGGGTCGTCGGAGGCCAGCAGCGCCCCCTCTTTCTTCAGCGTCAGCCTCGGCCGCAACCCACACTCCTTGTAGTACCTCTGAGAGGCCTGTTCTGCCAGCCAGCTGATGTCACGAGTCTCGCTGTCTCTGGGGAGTCCCAAGTGCGGGTTACACACGCAGCACACGCGCCACCACCGCACACAGCACACCACACGTACACCAAACAACACACCACACGCACTGAACGGGGACATCACAGTGCATCAACGATACTCCTTGGGTAGATAATCTGTTTTGTCGGGGTTTTAAAATACACAATCCATTCACTTTACAGTATATTCTGTGAAGCACTTTTGAGTCATCTCGAAGACGTTATGAAGCACAAGACCAAATGCAAGGATTATTATTATTATTATTATTATTATTATTAAGGGACACGCGGGAAGGACTGGTAATTGGACTTGAGGTACAGCTCAGCTATGATCTTATAGAGTGGCAGAACAGGCTCGAGGGGCTAAATGGCCGACTCCTGCTTCTATTTGAAAAGGCGCCTTATCGCATCAGTTTCAAAGCGCTCCGCGGGATATATTGTAAAGTGTAGTGACTGTGCATTTGTAGGCAAACGCAGCAGTCAAGTTGCACGCGTCAACGTCCCTCAAACAGCCGAGAAGTGAGTGACCGATTTTATTTGGGGGGGGGATTGTTGGCCAGGACACTGGGGGAGAAAGAGGGAGAGAGAGAGAAAGAGAAAGTCCCTTCTCTTTACCGGAATCTTTAATGTCCACCTGAACAACTTCTCATCCCAAAGGACAGCATTTTAAGCTCATAGTCTCATCTCGGCTGACGCTCCGGGGCAGTGCTGGGGCACCATTGCCATAGGTGCCGTCCTTGCAAACCTACAGCGCGGAAGGAGGCCATTCGCCCATTGACTCCGCACCGGCTCAAAGAGTAAGATCGCTTCAAACGCACAGCTCCACTGTTACACCCGAACCTCTTCAAGCCGCTCTCTTTCATATAATAATAATAATAATCCCTGCATTTGATACAGCGCGGCTTCGAGTTGTCTCAAAGCTCTTTGCTAGAGCTGCAAAGTGTAGTGACTGTATATTTTGTGGCCGAAAAACGGCAGCCAATTGCGCACAGTAGCATCCGACAAACAGTCGTGGATTGAGTGACCGCATTATTATTTTTTTTTTAATTTAATTTTTAATTGATTATTACCTCCCGGAAAAGCGATCCGCCAATCGAGTAACAACCGGGTTCCTACTTACTGCCAGGTAAACAGAGGTGTGCGGAGTAAGGAAACTTGCTAAAGTTTCTCCCTGCCCCGCCCGGGAATCGAGCCCAGGTCCTCTCGCTTGCGAGGCGAGTGCTCTAACCGCTGAGCTTCAGGACTCCATATACTCATCTACTTCCCTCTTGAAACCCACGATGGACTCGATTTAACATCTTACCCGAAGGACAGCGCCTCTGACAATGCAGCGCTCCCCCCACCCCCCCACCAGCAATGCACTGAAGTGTCACCGAGTGGAGACGATAGGGACTCAAACCCCGACGTGGGGCTTCAACCCACAACCTTCTGACTCAAGAGGCGAGAGAGAGCACTGATCTTACCTGTGAGGGACTGGGATGAGGAACAGCTTGTCCTGCACTCTGACCCGCACCCGGATCACTGGAGCCACAGCAACCAGCACTGGCTGTGCCACGCTCTGTAACAGCCAAATCACAATCCTTACCACTGACATAGCGCCTCATCACATCGTCCAGACGTCTCAAAGCGCTTCACACAATACACCTGTAATGTCAATTGACTGCATTTTGTTGGTGAAACACGGCAGCCAATTGCGCACAGCAGCGTCCCTCCCCCCCACAGTTGTGGATTTGAGGGATTATTACCCCCCCCCCACCCCCGGAAAACGGTTCGCCAATCGACTAACAACCAGGTTCCTACTTACTGCCGGGTAAACAGAGTCGTGTGGAGAAAGGAAACTGGCCTAAGGTTTCACCCCTTCGGGAATCGAACCCGGGTCCTCTCACTTGCGAGGCCTTTCTGAAGACCCTTTCTGAAGACCTTCCTCTTCGGTCACCCTCCTCCCTGCCCCCGCCCCCTCCTGATCCCAAGCCCCCAGCTCAGTCCAAATCCCTGACTGTCCAGCGCCTCCTTGGGATGTTCTCCCGATGTGAAAGGCGCCGTGTAATGGTGAGTAATTGTTGTTGAAACTGTTAACCTCTATCCCCCGCCCCTCCAACCAGCTGAACACGGCCACATTACCGGGGTTTGGGACAGTCTCGTGGTCAGGGTCTCTCGGCTGCTCTCAGACTCCGAAGGCACGGAAGCCCCCAATCCCTGCTCCCCGCTCCTTCCGCTCCTCCCCAACACCGTCCTGTCCACGATCTGCGTCATCCTCATCTGTCGGCTTCTCCTCTTGTTCTTCAGGCCCAGCCTGGAGGAGGAGACGGAGGAGGAGGAAGTGTGGGTGGTGGGGGCTAGGGTCAGGGACTGGACTTGGCTCTCCTCTGAGCTGCCAATGGCTGCCCGCTCCGAGCTCCCTGCCCCCCAGTGCTGCTCGCCCCTGGCTCTCTTCCTCGGCCTGGCTAACCTCAGGTCATCCTCCAGCCAATCCTCAGCCAGGTCCTGCTCCTCGGGGACCAGAGCCGGCCGGTCGGAGCCCGCCAGCGGAGGGGGAGGAGGGGAGGTGGAGTGGCCGGGCTCCAACAGCCGGGATTTGGCGCTGCCCAGACCACGCATGGCCTGCAGGTAAACGGCCCTCCCCGCATTTGGAGCCTCCAAATCCCTCTCCTGGTTCCTGCCACGGGAGGAATCCCAATCCGTGTCCGGTTCGTCAGGAAAATCCCGGTCATCGCACAAGCCCGGTGGCGAGAGCCGGTCGCCTTCAGGTGCTTGACCCGACTGCTGCCCCGTGACCCTGGGTCTTCTCTTCACTGAGCGAAGCAGCACCATGAGATCTTCATCACCATCTTCTTCATCATCATCATCAGAGCCAACGTCACCCACAGAACCCCAGCCTGGTCTGTTAGTGCCGGACGCCTGGGTGCTGGATGACGAAGGGTCCCCAATATGTTGGGCCAGGTGCCCAGCCCCTCGCTGTGAAGGGTGCGGGAGGTTTCTGTTGCCTGCCGACAGCTCACTGGTCTCCTGCAGACGCCTCTCTCTGCCTCGCTCCCTCGAGGGGAGAGAGACAGACAGCTCCGAGCGCTCAGAGTCAAACAGGTCGCTCTCCTGGCTGGCCTGACCAGCCCGCCGTGGGCCTGCACGCACACAACAGGAACACAAGAGGTCACGACAATAACATCATTAATAATAATAATCCTTGCGTTGGTTGCAGTGTCTCATCGTGTCGTCGAGACGTCTCAAAGCGCTTCACAGGATACACTGTTAAGTGAATTGACTGTAATGTTTTGTGGGCGAAATTTACACGCCTCTAACTTACCGCTAGTTAGAGCTGCCTTCAGCAGTCTCTGTGTCTGGCAGCACTGCTGCTTGGTGTCTTTGTCCAAGTGTTTGCTGTACGTCTGGTACCAGTCAGACAGGCTGTCCAGCGGGCTCTGACCCTGAGAGGCGCAAACATCAAGCAGGGAGTCAGAGACACAGACCGTCGCACAGCACCTCCCCCCGACACAGCACTGTCACATGCAACACGCTACTGCCACACAGGATCGCCACACGTCACGCCACCACCGCATGGCGCCGCCACGACCTCATGGGATCGTCACGGGTGTCTGACACATGCAAACCCAGAATATTGATCCTTACGCCTGACGCTGAGACGTTTCAAAGCACAAAGCGCATTACGGAATAAGCTGTAAAGTGCAGTGGCTGTATGTTTTGCGGGCGAAACACGGCAGCCAGTTTGCATGGCCGCGTCCCACAAACAGGAGCGAGTGCCAATTTTATTTGGGAGATTGACGGCCAGGACACCGGGACAGAGGAACTCCCATCTCCTTTCCAATAGCGCCGCAGGATCTTTGACGCCCACCTGAACAGGCACAGACAGGACCTCGGTTTAACGTCTCATCCGAAGGACGGCGTCTCTGACAATGCAACAACCACACCCCCCACACCCCTCCCAGCGATGCATTGGAACGTCAGCATAGACAGTGTAACTCCATGTTACATGGAGTTTGTGGGGAGAGAGGGCGCCTGACCCCACAACCTTCTGACTCAGAAACGAGAGCGCGCGCGAGAGAGAGCGAGAGCGAGCGCTGCCACTGAGCCAGGCTGATCGTTCTCGAGATTCCAGACCAGACAAGAGCGTCACATGTGGTGTGTAACGCCGTGAGTGTGAGCAGGGATGGATTATCCCGGCATTCCGCAGACACTGGAGGAAAGCCACTGTACCTTAGCGTTGAGCACGGTGACCGAGGCTCCTCTCTGGATCAGCAGCTCGGCCACCTGGAAGTTGCCGCAGGTGATGGCATCGTGGAGCGGAGTGATCCCCTCACAGCGAGAGCCCCCGGGGTCGTTCATGTTCACACCAGAGTCCAGCAGCAACTGCACAATCTCTGGGAACCGAGAGAGATTTAATGAGAGGGAGGAGAGGAGAGAGAGAGGGGAGAGAGAGAGCCTGTGGGGTGGCGGGGAGAAAGAGAGAGCCTGTGGGAGAAGGGTGTGGGAGGGAGCAAGCAGGGGAGAGAGGGAGAGACAATGAGAGAAAGAGAGAGCAGGAGAGAGGACCTCCGACTATGGTGTGACTGAGTGCTTACCCAGGTGGCCATGGTTACAGGCTTCATGTAGGGGTGTCCAGCCACAGTAATCCCGGGGGTTCAGAGGGTGACCCTGAAACACAGTCGGGGGGGAGGCGAGTGGGGTCAGTAACACACATGAGAAACGTCAATACTGCACACAGCTGCTTCACTCCCCGACGGTCTCCCTCCCCACCAACCCCTTCCCTCCCTCCGGCCATACAGCTCAATATTTGCTCCCTCCCCCACCGTCAGACAGTGGTTTAGGGAGTTCCTGGGGCGTAGTGGTTAGAGCCCTCGCCTCACAAGCGAGAGGACCCAGGTTCGATTCCCGGGCAGGTCAGGGCGAAACATTGCGCGGGCGCAACGCAGCAGCCAATTGCGCACAGCAACATCCCACAAACAGTCGTGGATTAAGCGACCATTTTTTCCCTGGAGGGATTATTAACCCTCGGAAAGCGATCCGCCAATCGACCAACAAGCCGGTTCCTACTTACCGCTGGGTAAACAGAGGCGTGTGGAGTCAGGAAACTTGCCTGAGGTTGTGCCCTGCCAGGAATCGAACGCAGGCCCTCCGGCTTGCGAGGCGAGTGCTCTAACCACTGAGCTACTGGTTATTGTTACAGCACTGGGAGGTGGTTTGGACCCAGTTGCTCTCACCTTTGCCACCAGATTCTGGGCGTGTCTGAGATTCCCCTCGATGCAGGCTCTGTGCAGCACAGTCTCCCCTTTCTCATTCCTGCGGTTCCACTGTGGGTACAGAGTACAGCCGGTCACAGCTCGACAACAACAACAACAACTGAGCGCCACCCAGGCAGGGTAGTGTCTCAGAGCGCTAGACTGGGGCGGAGCACGACCCCTAGCAGGGGGAAGGGGACCGCAAGCGCATCAACACCAACATGGGGATAGAGGTTCACAGTTTCAACAAGAATTAATCACTTACACAGCGCCTTTCATGTTGGGAGGACATCCCCAAGGCGCTAGACAGTCAGGGATCTACACCCCAGCTGGGGGTTGGTCTCAGGAGGGGTGGAGAGCAAGGAGGGTGGGGGGTAGAAGGGTGACCGAAGGCACAGGCGAAGAGGAGGGTCTTGAGACGGAACTTGAAGGAGGCAACGACTTTTTGAACTCCTGATTTTTAAGCCCTGTTGGCCGTGTGTGTGTGTGGTCTTGACTACTCACTGTGTGCTCGTGTGTGGGTGTGCGCCCGTGTTGTGTGTGTACGCGTGCGTATCTGTGCTGTGCGTGCACGTGCCTGTATGTGGGTGCATGTGCGTGCGTCTGTGCGCGAGTGTGTCAGTTCTGACAGGAGTAGTCCGGTACAATCACCTGCTTTGTCCTCCTCCTGCCTGGGTTCAGCTTACTGTAACCTTCCAGGTCCTCCTCATCTGTCAGGGAAGATATATTAATAATACTATTCCTTGCATCTGATAAAGCTTCTTATCACGTCCTTGTAGTGTAGTGACTTGTGTATTTTGTGGATGACATGTCAGATCGTATGTGACAGTACATGTGTATCAGCCTCATCCCCTACACACACACACCACTCTCAGTCACACACCTCGCCACCCACCCCCCCCCCCACCACTTGCCCACGTACCGCTGTCTGACAGCTCCAGCTCGCTCTCCCCCAGGGGTTCACTCTCCTCAAGTGTCTCACTGCCCTCCTCCTCCTCCTCCTCCTCCTCGCTGCCTGCCTGGTGCTGAGCCAGTTCCTGTAGCCTGGCCTGAGTGCCCTCAGCCTGGGGCAGGCCTCGCTTCTGCTGGGCCGACAGCAGCAGCCGCAACACACGCACCTGGGACAGGGAGAGAGGAGAGAACGAGGGTCGAGGTCAGGGCCTGCAGACCAGCGACACTCAACCACCCCAGCCCTCCCTCCCTCCTTCCCAGCCCAGCACATCTACACCGCCCCCAACACAGGTTACACATCTATATCTATACTAATAACGACGAAATGCCCATGTGTCCGTCCGCCATTAACGCAAGAACTGATTTGACGTAGAGACGCGGTTTGTACCTCATCAGAAGGGTCTTGCGTGGGGGAGTGTCATGGGCGTATTTTGTATTGGGGGAGATCTCCTATCATTGAGGAGCGGTGACCTAAACACGTGTATGGCAGTTTTGCTTAAGGTGTACACACTGTGTTTGTGGCACGTGAAGTGGTTTGTGAGATTTACATTCCACATTGGATTCTTTGGTTGCAAGCGTAACTGCAATGAGCACGGCTACTGAATAATAATAATACTTGAGAGAGAGAGAGAGAGAGAAAGAAAAGGTATAATGTGTGAGCAGTGACCTGGAGAGGGGTGCTGTGGGCGCGCTCGGCGCTCTCCAGTGCTCTCTGGTAACACGGCTCCGACTCCTCAAACTCCTGCCCGTCCTCCTCTCTGGCCAGCGCCACGTTCAGCCACGTCTCGCATTCCTGCAACAAGCGATACTGACACAACCTGCCTGAGCACAGCGTTCTCCCCCGTGACCCTCACCTTCCCCAACTTCCCTTCCCTTCCCCACCTCTCCACCCTCTCGCTCCTCTCCCAACTTCAGCGACCAGAGATACTGGCAAAAACTACCCCAAGCAGGAGCATTCACCCCCATCGT